CTGCCGGCCCCCGTCTCTACGAAGCTCGCCGCCGCACCATGGCCGTGTGCAACCTCATCGCCTTTGTTGTCTTTACCCTGTGGCCGTGCATGCCGCCTCGCCTGCTGAGCGACCCCGACGTGCCCGGCGACGTGGGCAAGGAGGCGCGCAGCTACGGTTTTGTCGACACTGTCCACGGTGCGGACGGCGCAGGCAGCGTCTGGACGCAGAACAGATTTTGCAATCAATATGGTATGCAAAGTATTCCCGCGTCCCATGTACAAAGCAGCCTAGCTAACCACTTTCCAGCCGCCATGCCCTCGCTTCACTTTGGTTACTCTCTCCTGATCGGCCTGACGATTCTGACGATCCCGCTTCCCCCGCATCACGCGCGTCCCATCATCGTCCGTGGTCCACTTCCATTTCTCCGTCTCCGCCTCCCCTCTCCGCGCCGCGTCGCATGCGTCTTTGTCGGCATCCTCTACCCGCTCACCATCCTCGTCGCCATTGTCGCCACGGCTAACCACTTTGTCCTCGACGCCGTCGCCGGAGCCATGGTCTGCTGGCTTGCATGGAAGGGAAACAGGATTCTATTGAATCTTCTGTGGCTCGAGGATTGGTTCCTGTGGTGCGTGAGGATCCACAAGCCCGAAGTGGGCGTTGTGGACTGGCTCGAGGGCTTGGGAAGCAGAGGGAGCGTCGACAGCGCAAGGAGCAGGGATAGTGAAGACGACTTGTGGAAAGGCAAGGCCGTGGTGTGAGTGTGGAAAAAAAAAAAAAAAAAAAAGGTTGGGTTGTACGTTGGGTTGGATTCTTTGCATCATCTTGGACGTGGCCCGAGCCCCTCTTGGATTTCGACATTTGCTTCCACTTTTGGCGTTTTCATTGACGGACTCACGAAGAGACGAGATTCCCCGTCCGCCTTGTTAAAACGACTCTGCTCCATTCTTCTGCGGAACATTGGGTTTCGATCGAAGGGATCCAAGGGACATTTGCTGCAGCGTTTGCAGGTGCCGTGGGAGGAGGGCAGCCGCTGCTTTTGACTCATTTCTTCCCAATAACGACCATGACGCCCATCCATTGTGCTAGAGGCAGTGGCTTGAGACAGACACCTTTAGAAGGGTGTGGGATAATGATTTAATATCGTCTTGACATGACTAGAGCAAGGGCAACCGAATGTGAAGCATCTGCAGCCCTGACATGCATGGCCACGAGTTTGGTGAGCCCAATTGGGACATGCAGCGCAATTCAAGGTTGGACTCGAGGCAAGGAGCGCGTCCACGTGGTCTCATGGCGTTGTTCCTGCTGCGCTCCTCCTGCAAGCGACTGTGGACTTCATGCGAGTCAGCATCCTCCCATGTTCGATTTTGCAAAGCTGTGCGGTAGCCATGGGCGCGCGTAGCCAAGAGCCATTCCTAGCGTGTCCCTGACATGGCCGATAGATGGACATCAAAAATGAATGTTGACAGCTGAGGTGAGGTGGTGTGCAGAGTAATAATGTACAGGTACATAGATAGGTGGGTGGTGGTGAGGTTGAGTACCTTGGCTTAGAACGCCCGGATGGCATGTGACGGGCGATCCCTGACTTCGTCGCAGCGTCATCCCCACGCCTTCTCTGCCTCCGCGACCCGGGCTCCTATCCCATCCACGACCGAGCTCCTATTTCTACTAGGCCGGCTCAAACACCCAACCGACATCTTCGCCTGTCCTCCGCCTTGCATCAACTGCGCCATCGCTCAAACCTCTGTCCGCGCCTCTGCCCATCCTGAGACGCGTCCCACCGAACCGAACTACCTTTTAGCTCACCTGGAGCTACCCCCGAGTCGCCCGTCCCGCATAATACATACACCTGTGTTGTTATTATTAAGTACCTACCTCAGCCATGGCCACGGCCGGCAGTACCCACAGCCTGCAGTCCCCCAACGCCATACCGCCCCGCTCTTCGTCTTACGGGAGCATCCTCAACAGTAATCACCGCCACTCGTCCACCTCTCCCAAGCGCTCCTCGCCCCAGCGCTCCGTCCTGCGCCCACTTTCCGAGGTCGACTGGATTTCGTCGGGCAAGAACTCGCGCCCCGCTTCCTCCATGTCCGCTCCAACCCAGTACGACCGCACCATGCCCTCGCCCTCGACCTCGCCCGAGCAGCACCAACAAACACACCAATACCCAGTCCCAATGACGCCCCCGCCGCCGGATCCCCTCAAGGGCATTGGCGAAGACCTCATCTACAACAAAGGCTCGGCCGGCTGGTCGGCGGACAAGGAGCGCATATTGCTGGGGCCATACGAGTACCTATACGGGCATCCGGGCAAGGACATTCGCACGCAGCTCATCACAGCCTTCAATGTCTGGCTGCAGGTGCCCGAAAAGTCGCTGGACATGATTACCAAGGTCGTGGGCATGCTGCACACGGCGTCGTTATTGTAAGCTCGTGTACGGATTTGGACGTTTGCCAGGCACCCAGCTAAGACAATTTGACGCACCAGGGTCGACGACGTCGAAGACAGCTCCGTCCTGCGCCGCGGCGTGCCCGTCGCCAACAGCATCTTTGGCACCGCCCAGACCATCAATTCGGCCAACTATGTCTACTTTCTCGCGCTGCAGTCGCTCTCGCAGCTGCGCAACCCCGCGGCCATGACCATATTTACCGAGGAGCTCCTCAATTTGCACCGCGGGCAGGGCATGGACTTGTTCTGGCGCGACACGTTGACGTGCCCCAGCGAAGCCGACTACCTCGAGATGGTGAGCAATAAGACGGGCGGCCTTTTCCGACTAGCCGTGAAGCTGATGCAAGCCGAGTCGAGCATGGAACTGTAAGTAGTAGCTAGCAGCGGCGGCCCAACTGCGCCCAAGCTCGTTTGCTCCTGGTGCTAACCGACGCAGCGACTGCGTTCCCCTGGTCAACACAATCGGGCTCCTCTTCCAGATTCTCGACGACCACCTGAACCTCAAATCGGCGCGGCTGAGCGCGCAAAAGGGCTTCGCCGAGGACTTGACCGAAGGCAAGTTCTCGTTCCCCGTCATCCACGCCATCCGCGCCGACCCGTCCAACCTGGTCCTTGTCAACGTGCTCAAGCAAAAGACGACGGATCCCGAGGTCAAAAAGTACGCCGTCCAGTACATGGAGCGGAAGGGCAGCTTCGACTATAGCGCGCGCTGCATCAGGGAGTTGCGGGAAAGGGCGCTCAAGCTGGTCGAGGAGGGCCAGCTCGCTGTCGGCGAACACGGCCGCAAGGGCGCAGACGCGATTCGTGCCATAGTGGATAAGATGAAGGTTGAGTAGGTGCCGGTGCGTAGCAATATGCGTGCGTGCGTGCGTGCCTTGACCGCGTGAGGGTGCAGACGGATCCGTCGTCTTGGCTGGTCGTCTCGCCTCTTAACATCCACCGACGCAAACGGTCGTCACGGGTCTTGGACCTCCCCTTCTTAGCTTCCTCCTCTCCCTTTGTGTCTTCGGCCTCCCAGGCTCCACCGTCCCGTCTTCTCCCGAGTCCTGGCTCGAGAAGTCGGAGCACGCGACCAAGGTGTGACGGCAAGATGTGTGCGCCTACATGTACTACGCACTGGGAGCATTTAACTTCCACCTGTAGAGAAGGGGAGAAGCGCAACGCGAACGAGAAGCGCTCAATCTCGTCGAAAAGCCACGGCCAGGGAGCGTTCAATTAAGAGCACCAAACTCATCCCAAAACGGGGCAGTGAGAGTGACGACGAAAAAACATCCCCAATATCCCCAAAAGCTCGGTAGCCGCTGACCACTGCCTCCTCCTTCTCTCCCTCCCTCCCTTCCTCCCTTCCTCCGCCGCCCCTCAAGAATGCCCAAATCAACATTTTCGAGGCTTCAAGCAAATGGATCCCGCTCGCCCTCCTGTCCTTCCTCCCATCTGTATAGCGGGCACGTGGGATGGGTGGACGGACGGACGGACGGACGGAACAAACAAACCCATTCATTTCCCTACATACCTACCTGGCCCGCCTTGTCTTTTGTTTTCTTCCATAGTCGATGTTGAAGTCGTCGCTGGCTGGCGTGCACGCACGACTGACGTCCGTCTGTCTACCTATCCGCCTATCTATCTTGCGGCTGCAAGCCCACTGACTCCATTCGTCATCTCTCCCACTCTCCTCGTATACGTTCTCGGCGGCATATACGCCGATTCATCCATCAATCAGCCAAATATCCTGTCTCCCGGCGTCTGTTTGTCTGTACACGACGGCGGCGCGGACGTCTTTGTCCTCGCGCCTTTCGGACGCCCGCCGACTGGACGACGTACGTACGGACGGACGGACGGATGGACCAACAAATGCACAGTCAGTCGTTAGAACCGGAAGGCGCGCAGCTCAGTACAGCAAGGTGTAAACAGGCAATACATACATGCCTGCGCAAAGCAGCCTACCAAACAGACGACGCAACAAAGAGGAGAGACAGACATCCGGGGTCCATCTATCTCTTTTGTCTATGGCAAGGCAGCAGGGCGGCGGCGGCGGCACTGCATTTCGCCATCTCTACATGACCATACCTACCCCCTCCCCTCTATACGCATTTACGAATGCATACATACCTTAGATACATTATACCTGTGTAGCGAGTCAGTCAGTCAGTCAGTCAATCCGGAGAAGGAAGGGATGAAGGACGGACGGACGGACGAACGGAATATTCAAATCATCTACAACAATAGTAAAGATAAAATAGTAATAAGCACCAGATCATCAATCGTCCATGATGGCGTGTCCATCCATTCTGTGTCTGCCGTCTGCTACACTTGCTAGAGTGTAGTGAGTTCGGTTCGTTTGAAAGTTACACATGTACGTGTATGTATGTCTGTGCAAGAACAATGAATGGCATGTGCCGACATGAACAAAAAACAACTAACAACAACAAAAAAAGCCAACGCCAATGCATGGTCCACACCGCACCACCGCACCGCCTCCTCCTCCTCCTCATCCTTCCCCTCATCCCACCAAACCACAACAACAAAAGAACGAGGCAGCAAGAAAGAGCAAAACGAAAAAGGCTAAAAGATGATGGTCGATACCAGGATCGAACTGGTGACCTTGGGATCGCTCACTCGCTGAGTGGAGTGATCATATCGATGATGTATATGAGACCCACGTCATGACCAACTAGACCAATCAACCAAGTGATACGACAAGAAGCTGATAATTAAATATATATTCTATGTGTTTAACTTGGGGCAGATTGAAATTTTTTTTTTTTTTTTTTTGATTGTTCTACGTCTCGCTGGAGCCGATTGGCTATCCAAGACGGAGTTATCTACAGGGGATGCCGCGTACGTCTGTGTTTGTGTAGGGATGCCCGGCTGAAGAGTCTCGCACAACAAGGAAAGTTTCTCGGTGCTATGTCGCTTGATTGATTGATTGATTAATTGATTGTTTTACGTCTCGCTGGAGCCGATTGGCTATCTAAGATGGAGTGAGTTATCTATAGGGGATGCCGCGTACGTCTATGTTTATGTAGGGATGCCTAGCTAAAGAGTCTTATATAATAAGGAAAGTTTCTTAGTATTATATTGTGTAGGGGTATTCTAGGTAGATAGTTTATCTAGATCTCTCTTTTAGTAAGGGGGGGGGGGGGGGGGGGGGGGGTAATTTCTAACCTACCTATTATTATCTAAGTAGACTAATAGTATGTAGTAATAGAAAGGAAAGGAAGGGGGAATAGGAAGAAGGCGTATATAGAAGAGTAAATAGTAGGTAGGGTAGTAGGGGGTAGTAGATTATTTATATACTCTTTACTAGTATTCTAGTACTATCCCTACTAGTACTACTTATAGGGTAGTTACTAGAATTTCTCTTTTCTTTTTCTTTTTACCCTTTTTACTCTACTATATAACCATGCTATGCCCTAGTAGAGATACCCGTACGGCGTATGAACTCTAGAATAGACTATTATCCGGCTTACTGTTAAAATAATTCACTATAGGGAAGTGGTGTTAATGGTAGTCTTCATCTACGCTGTTGTCTACCTAGTACTGTTATCCACCTGGTACTATTAATTGGTGAAACTTCTCTATAGCCTCCCTCCTACTCGTACTATGGAGGGAGCAATCAATGATGAGGTGTTGCGGTGTTTATGGGGCTGGTGAGGGGAAGGGAATATTTAGACGGCGGGGGAGAAGAGATGTGGGGAGACTGTGGGGTAGAGAGAGGATGGGGGAGATGGAGAAGGGGGAGGGGAAGGGTACGGAGTGAGAAGGAGGAGGCGGGCTAACAGGCAGGCAGGTAGGCGATGCGAGGTGGAATGAATGAATGGGTAGATAAAAAAAAAGTTCAAAGGGAAAAGTGGTGAGGCGGGGGAGCGCGCGGAACTGGCAGCCATCCATCGGGCAGTCCCTTAACCAACAGATAGGAGTCCAATGAACCAAGCGCCCACGCAGCAAAACTTATAATGAGTAGAGAGAGCAGCGAGTCTGATGTTCTCCCTCACAAACGGACAGACGAATAGAGATGTGAGCTAAGCACCGCAACAGCACACCAATCAATCAATCATAATCTTATTCTTTCGTCTCATAACAGCTATCAAGTGTGTACGTATACACATGATCTGGACAAGAGAGGTGGAGGAGTGAGGATAAGTATGCTACACAGAAATTTCGACAAACAGAGAAGGGGATTCCGTGACCAGATATGTGGTCTGAGTGGTGGCGAGTAACAAGTGCAAATGTGCAACTGTGCTGTGCTGATTGTCGGTTTGGCGTGTAACGGGCAAGTCAGAGAAAGCACTTGAGAAGTAGGAAGACGTGAATGCATGCAGCGGGACGGCTAGGGAGGGGTATCGGGTAGATGAGCTACCAGAAGAAGAGGAAGAAGAGGAAGAAGAAGGAGAGGCTGCAGGAGCAAAAACAGCCATTACAGAGAATGAGAGAATGAGAGAAGGTCAAGAGAGAAAGACGGCGGATGGATATGGAAATCACAGACCCAACCCACCCTCCAGATTTTAGAGCGCAACACGATACCTATATCCAGCGGCCTCGAATCTTCGCTCTCCAGCCTCACACCAGACCGAACCACCCCAGTCCCGCCGCCACCGCCAATCCAACGACAAGCATCCCCCATCCGGCGCCGCCGTCAGTACGTCTACCCTCGTTGGGCCAACCACTGAACACGGTCTGGTTGTCGACATCATCCGGGTCGGCCGAGAAGAAAAAGGTCCGCGCCGTAGCATTGCCATCCGGGCCCTGGCCATCCGGGGCGCGCGTCTGGTCCGGAATGACGCACTGGCTATCGGCGTCGGGCTCGGGACAGCGGCGTTGAAAGTCGCGCTGGCGCCGCTCATCGCTCGAGTTGAAGTAAGCCTTGACATACGAAACGGTGAGGATGGCGTCGATGGACGGCGGGCCGGCAGACCACATCGGGTCGCCGTTGCTCCAATGGTTGATGACGAGGTGCCCGGCGCTATTGGGCAGGTCGATGGTCATGTCCTTGAGCCACTGGCCGTCGGCGTAGAACGAGACGCGGTCGGCGAGCCAGTCGAAGCGGTACTCGTGGAAGCCGTCGTCTGGCCGGAATGGCAGCGGATACACGTTGTAAGTTTGCGTGTGCGAGGCGTCGTAGCCGGCCTGGGCCGACTGTGGCGACTGCAGCACCAGGTTGACCGGGTTCGATGTGTCGTTGAGTTGCTTGGAGAGAAACTCCATGTCGATTTCTTGCGTGTCGTTGCGGAACTGTGGATTTGCCCTTTGGTTACCCTTGCTTTTTTTTGAAACCACTTTGGCTGAGCTCTGCTCATCGTCTTACCCAAAAGAATGCGCCACAGGTTCCAGACGTGCCCGTGACTTTCATGGCGACTCGGAAGCTTCCAAGCAGCATGTCGGTCCTCTGAATCACGACTTCGCCCATTGGAATCATGTCGTCAACTGGGTCAGAGCGCACGTATACCTGCAATCCAGCGTCGCCTCCATGGATCGAATCGCCTGCCCAGTCCCATTTGCTCTTGAGCGGATTTGGCACCACATTCTCCAAGAGGGCCATCTTGCCATGGGGCCCGCGCGCCGCGTCCTGCGTGACGTTGTAGACTTGCGGCGTCCACCCGGCGGCCTTGAGATCTTGAGCGTGTAGGAAATCTGTCTCGACGAGGTCGGTGAAGAGCGCATATGAAGTCGCATTTGTTTGATTGACCGAGTAGCCGCAATCGCAGCTCGCTGCCATGACTGAAAATGAAAAGAGATCAAATGAACGCTCATTGGTCGCGCCGCCGCAAGAGCATAGCCGAGAAACATACCATTGCCTATCGCAGCGCAAAGCACGCCAAACGTACCGAGGCGGTCGAGAAACACCGGAGCCATGGCCGAAAGTGAATGGGTGAAGCGCAAATGGGCTGGCAGCATTGGAGGAAAAGCGTGCAAGTCCTAGAAAGCCTGGTGTCGCGTGGTTGATCATGCGCCAGCGACGTGTACCGGCAAGACAAAAGAAAGAAGGACAGAGCTCAAGGCGGGCTGCACGAGAATCTGCGGTGGACAGATGGAAGGAGCAAGCACCCGTCGCCGCAAGAGGCAGTCGAGATATGGAGACGGGGAAACAGTGGAGGGAACGCACAGCGCCGTAAGAGGGCAGTCCCGCCCCGGAGAAGAAGACAAAGGCGACCCTCGAGAGCAGTGTTATGGTGTGGTGGCGAGAAGACGAGACTGCCGACGAGGTGACGGTCACATGGTGGAAAAATCAACCATGGCTGGTGCTGCCAGAGGCAAAGCACATAGTGCATGCACAGAGCGGGGGAAGGGAAGCTGCGACGAGAAGGCAAGACTGGGCGCCATGACGCTTTCAAGGTGGAGAGCAGAAGATGGTGGTGTTGTTGCACGGCGTGCCTGTTGCACAAGGGAAGCGCAGCAGGAAATGACAAACACCAAGTTGCTGCAACCCAAGGGCGCGCCGGTGCGACGTGTATGCTTGCCCAACCGACGACTGGGATCCACAGTTGATACTCTTCCGGCATCCGCACGGCTGACCCGCAGGGAATGTCTACCTATGTGCCAACCGCCTAGAAAACATGAGCATTGCACGACGCCAGCATCTGCAGACCGCGCACATACCTGAGCAGCTTCAGCGTGGAGCAGCCGGACGCCCGGAGAGCTCACCATCCATCGCAAAACGTGGCACGCATGCTTCTCTTCTTCCGTCTCTAGAACACAAATGGGCTTGATTAAATGGGTATGCAATCGATATCCGTACAAGTGTTGATCATATCCTCATCCGCGGTCCGTGTATTACCGCCGTCCTCCTTCGACGGGCTTGCCTTGTTCAGAGACAAGTCAGTGAAAGCAAGTGTCCACAAGACAGCCTCAACCCACCTCCACACGTCAAACCAACTCATGCGTGTCCAAAGATTTGAGCCCGTCCATATGGCCTGGTGGCGTACCATTGCTAGAAGCAAAAAAAAAAAAAAAAAAAAAAAAAAAAAAAAAAAAGCGAATCCAAGTTTCCTTCTACTGTCTGCTCGAAATACTCCGCAACCCGATACACCTTGCTTGCTGAGATTCCATCACGCCATGGCTGTAGTAGATCATTCATGTCCAACTAGGGGGTGCATGCATGCCACCCGCCAAGACATCCAAACACAAAACTCCTTCCAACCAAGCTCCTGCGCAAGAGGTGCACTCATCATGACCGAGGCAAAGCTTGGGACCGTGTCGGCAGCCCTGAGCGGCAACAAAAATGCTATAGATTAGGGGGGTATCATTATAGAAATCCTGATTCGGACAGAAGTCTGCTCTCAAGTCAGCAACTTTCCCTCATTTCGCAACGGTCCATTTCACGTACCTTGCGATCTTCTCATCCTCACGCTCACGTGGCTCCACCTGTAGACTCATGTCGTACATTTCGTGCACGTCGCCCGCCGATTGCATGTTGGTCAGAATGTAATCCTGAAGCTCCGGCACGGGCTGCAGAGGATACGGCACGTTCTGGTACTGCTGGATATCTCGAATCACCTCGGCCGTCTTTGCGCGCTTTGCAAAGTTGATGAGGTTCGTCTTCTTGATCAGAGAAGGAATGCCATCCTCAATGAACGTCAGGTCCGTCAGGTAGACGCCGAAAAAGGGAATGCAAGGCGGGTTGGCCTTGTGCAAGGTGTCTCTGTACTCGGCAAAGTTTTTGGTACTTCCCATGAGTCTGCGCATGTT